ATCGCCTATCGGCACCACTATCATAAGCCAGGTAGGTACCATTTTTCTCATTGAAAATTCTTTCTTGTCAATATTTAAAAAATATCTCGGAAGCAACCCAAATAAATGTTCCATAATAGAAGAATGACTTATCTAGTCAATAGAATATTGTGCAGCTTTAAAAATGGTTTATATCATTAGACCTAACAATTCCATATGATACACATATCCACAAGATATGTGTATAACTGTTCACTACAAGATTATAATAGTGAAAAGTTGTGACAAAGGAAATGTCCATCAGTAGGGAACTACGACTCCAACCATAAAAAGAACAAGCAGATATGTATGGATTAACATGGAAGGATGTCTACAATATGCTAAACACTTAATATGTGCCAGAGTAGTATGTGATCTATTTTTATCTTTAAAAGTAGTTTATTGAAGAATATATATAGCAAAAGACAAGTTAACCAGAGTTTCAATAGAATTCTAATGAAATGGTGTACCAAAGAAGAATTTCATTTTATACATTATTTACTTCTATTTTGTCTTTTTTTACAATAAGCAGTTACTGCTTTTGTAACTAAAGTTTGCAGCACTTATGAGAGGTTTTAACAACATGGGAAATACTTTTATTATGTTAAGTGCAAAAGTGGCATATATTGGGTTATCAGAAAAGTCATGATGTATTTTGTTTATGTTTTTCAAAGGTCATTTATATAAAGAACAAAGATCAATCAATGAAATATTGCCCGTTTTGTTCGATAACTTTTTGCCATCTTTCAGTGAATTTCATAATTCATCATTCATAGAAGGACCTGTGTTTATTTGTGAAAAACTGAACAAGGTGCTGATTTACAGCCTCATCTAAATTGAATGTTATACCACACAAAGAGTTTTGAAGAGAGCAAAACAAGTGGAAATCTGTCAGCGCAAGGTCAGGCGAGTGTGGTGGGTGTGGCAACACATCCCATCCAAGCTCCAATAATTTTTGATGGGTTATCGAACTTGTGTGTGGTCTCATGTCATCTAGATGAAACACAACTTCTTTACAATTAAGAAGCTCTGGACTTTTCTGGATGATGGATTTGTTCAAACTGTCCAATTGCTGACAGTACACATTTGAATTGATTGTTTGGTTCCTAGGTAGGAGCTCAAAAAACAGGACACCTTTAAAATCCCACCACACTGAGAGCATAACCTTCCTCTGATGAATATCCACTTTCAGTGTCATTTGAGGGGAATCATCACATCAGGACCAAGACCGTTTGCGCACCACATTGTTGTAAACAATCCACTTCTCATCACCAGTTATCAGTCGTTTCAAAAAAGGATCCTTTTTTTCACATTTAATGAGCATATTGCAGATGTTTATATGCGCCGTTAAATGAACTTCTTTGAGTTCACGAGCAACCCAAATATCGAGCTTGCTTACGTATCCCAGCTTCTTCAGGTGGTCGTGAATACTTGAATGATGGATGTTCAATGTTTCTGCAATCTCTTGTGTTGTATAATGTGGGTTTGACTCAATCAATACCTTTATTTTGTCATCAACCTCGGTGGGCCTCCCTGACCAAGGAGCGTCGTTGAGATCAAAATCACCAGCACAGAATTTAGTGAACCATCATTGGCACTGATGTTCTTTTTTTTTTTTTT